GAAAGAGAAAAAAAACCGGAAGAAAATTTAAGATTAAATAAATAAAAAATCAAAAATATTAAAAAACAAAGAGATTCTACACTACCATTTACAACAAATATTTATATTAAATAAAATATACTACAAATAATCATTTGAAAATTGTTCTTTACAATCAACAGATTATAAAACATGTATCCTGTTTAAACTATGTGAAGCCAGTATTTAAAAGTTTTATTTATTATTCTTTTACAAGTTTATGCTCTAGTAAACTTTTCATAATATGCGATTAGTAATAATGTGCAATATAATATTTTCATTTACTTTACAATTGGTAATATAAAAAATATATTTATAGGACTAAAATGATATTTATAAATCTTTGGTAATACTTGTTTCCGTATTAAATATTACATTCTACAATATAAAAGAATAAAAATTAATGTTTTTTTTTTTTTTAATAATTAGAAATACTCAATTATTTATCATAAGAAAATCATCATGTATACTTTTATATTATAATTATCATTTATTAATACTAACTAAATATCATTATAAAACGAATAAAATCATATTCGATTTTTTGATAATAACATTAGTTATAAATTATAATTAGTATTAAACATAATTATTATACGATTAAATTCGTTTCTATTTAAAATTCAATCCTATAAATGCATTCCACGGTACTGTAATGAATGTTTTCTGTAGCAATAAAATAATTTTATTATTTTAAATACAAATGCAAGTAAAATTTTTATTAAAAAAATTTGTTTGTGAAATTTATGCATATCTTTTGGATAATGCAGTATAATTTTCAAATATATAAGCATTAAATGCGTAAGAACTATCCAAAATATTTCTATTTATTACAAAAAATTTTGTTGCTTTTACCTTCCGCTCACAAAAGCTTAAAACAATACATATATACTATACAGTTCTTATATATATATATATATATATATATATATATATTGCAATGTTTTATAATTTGTTTTTTTTTCTTTTAATAAACCTAAAGCAAAGTAGTAGTACAGTAAAAAAATCTATAATAGTAAGTAACAAATAAGAAAGGAACTGTATACACATGTTAAGATGAGTGATGGTCATTTATTTACACGCCTTCATTAAATGTTTAAATGCTTTCAGTAATGATACAGAGACATATGGAAAGAAAGAAAGAAAGAAAAATGATAAATAAATTAGGAAGAGCTGTCGATGACGCCGTGTCTACAATGGCAATACCGAAATAACCAAAAATTAAATTCTGATCCAACGAAAAATGATATTCTAAGCTGCTCGAATCGTTCGTCTACCGCGAACATTTCCGTATTTCTTTAGGGCTTCGTGAACCGTTTCCGCAGCCATATCCAACGATCTGCCATAGCCTGCACCGTAAGCGCCATGATGTTCTTCGGAACTATGACCGTGAGAAGCAGTGTAAACGGGTTTGCTAACAATCTCGTACGTTGTTTTCTTTTCGCCGCCACTAGTCAGCGATTTCAAACCCACGATAGCTGACAGCATAAGGGCCATGAGGCCTGTCATGAGAGCTTTACCCGCAAGCATCGCAAGAGCTCCGAATCCCAGGGCTCCTAAGGTGCCCTTCATCATCATGAGACCGGCCATCAGACCGCCCATTCCATTTTTATCTTTTCTTCGCGCTGAAACAAAGGATTACGAAGATTTTATTAATCAGCAACGAGAATTAGCAATCCTGCTAATATGAGCTAGATGACTTTTCGAAAATAAAAAATAAAACTTTTTTCAACACAATATAATATTCTGTATGGAATTTATATATTGGTAACGATGTTTTTTTTTTTTAATAAATTAATAAATATTATTCGTAAGATAATTATTAGAGCCTAAAAATATAATTTGATCACTCATTAATATAATAGTTAGAGATCGTACTGCATACTCGATTAATCGATTATCTTTTTGATTAGTATATTTAATGGAGTGAAAATAGATTGAATAAAAATGCAGAAAATAATTGTTTTTCAATTCATTTTTCATAATTGAAAATATGAAATACATTATGTAGCATGAAAATTTTTTGTTTCCAAAACATTTATAATTTTTAATATGAATATGGGAATAAAAACTATCTAACCGGATTAAAAAATAAATTCCATTAAATTATATTTAACTTTCTTAATGGAAAGAATAAGTAAAATTAGGCTAATTAAAAAAAAAAGTTCTTGTAACGGTTTATTAGTCATGTATGTACCTGTATATATAGAATAATTATAAGATTAATGTATTATAACAAATAATGTCTTTATTAATTCAATGTTTAAATTTTTAAAATATAAAATAATTTAGCAATTATTATCTCTTTAATTTCAACATTAATACTTTAATTTTAATTGGTTTATAAATAATGCAGGTGCCTTCTTTATTTTAATCATTTACGTATTTTATCACTTTTTTTTATTTTTTTTTATCTTGTTCTCTCTTCCAAATCTCATTTAATATCTAATCGTTTTTCAAACTATTTTCCTCTTTCTTTTTGTGTTTATATATAAATAATTTATATATATATATATATATATATATATATGTTGTAAATCATATGCATTTAAAATTTGTACACCATAAAACATAAAAATATAAAAGATTTTTAGAAGCTTAATTGATGTGTACATATAAAAATGTAATAATTAGATGATCCTTAATGATTACCAAGAAAAATCTAAATCATATATATATATATATATATATATATATATATATTTATATACATATTAGTGAAGTGTGAGAGTATTTATAAAAGTCATCACTTTATCAAGTAATTAGTCTTCACAAACCAGTTTCCGCATTATTATTATGTTGCTCGCTAAGTCCTAACTGTTCGAGTGCCGCCTCATTAAAAGTCCTCGTTGCTTCAAAGGTTCGTGGATCAAAGAGTTTGATAGAAATTGCATGACTATTCAGATATGTTCCAATTCTATGCATTAAATAAGCATCCATGCGTTTATCTACATCATTAGGAAAGTCTCGAGCAAGATTGGCTACAACATCAGATACCGGGATCGTGACTGAACTATTTTGCTTTACTACTGAAACTCCAGGAAGAATACCTAAAATGAAAAATTTAAGTTTTTCGTAAATTCAAACTTCAACTCTTTGAGCAAAATTAAGAATTAAATATGCAAATTCAGACAATTTATTTACAATTTTATAGGCTTTTAATAGAGTAATTTTTTATTTTGTATTTACTTAGCCCGATACTTTATATACAAATGATAAATTAAAAATATAAAAACACATATAATGATAATTAATTTCATACCAAAATATTATTAAAATTAATATACTTTCTTTATAAAATTTTCATAAATTTCTTTATTATTTTTATTATTATATCTTTATACAGACAAATACACACGCACACGCACACGCACACGCACGCACACGCGCACACACCCACACACACACACAAACAGACACACACATAAATATATATTGATGTATTTGTCGATAGTTAATGTAATTCTTTGTAATTAAATCTTCGTTCTTTTCTATGTTTCTTCGCGTCTAATAAATCTTTCGATAACTGACTTGAATAGAACAGAGTGAGTTTGAATTACTAAAGTGTATATTATGAAATTAGAATTCATAAATTGTCGAAATAATTCTAATTGGAAGATAAGTCCATACCAAGATCATCCTGCTCTGATAATCTATCGACAAAAGAAACAACGTCTAGTTTCAAACAAGTTGAACTGTAGACTTTGCTGCAGTCTTTTTTCCAATTTTCTATCGATGCAAAGGAAGAACCCGATGTGTTTTGTTCGATCGATTGATAATTCGTTCGCTGGCTGATTTCGGTCCTAACATGTCCTACGAATAATCCAATTTGCAGCAGCAAAATTTGAGCCACAAATGTCTGTCTCATTTTTAGATCTTGATCCAGCTGATGCAGTAGTAAAAACAATAACAAAAACTACAAGTGCAAGAACGAACACCCGATCCGCGAAAAGAACGAAAAGGTACTGGACACAGCTTTGACGATCTTGCACTATATATACGAAGCCGAGACTACTCGATTCTACTGGTGGTCCTTTTTCCTTTTTGTCTTCCCTATTACACGTCCACATGTATACGATTTTCCACTCTTCTTTCTCTTGTAGAGCAGCGGTAGTCCAATGCGGAATCACTCGTTGCAACAAGTCTAGAGAAGGGATACATTGAGAAAGAGCAGCAAAAGCAGTGGTAGTAGCGTCAAATAGAGCGGAGAATTCGAACTTCAGTCAAATTTACAAAAACTCGGGCGAGGCAGCTTGGAGAATAGTGTACTGCAGTGATTGTCTACAGAATGACTGCCTAACTGATCTCCTTTGGGTGCAGAGAGAGATTTTCCTTGCGGGTATGATCAAGGAATGCTATTGTGATTTTTTCGCTCTTTTTCCCTTTACGAGCATTTTGGTAGCCACGGCTGGCACTTATTTTGATAAACTCCAAGCGCGGGAAGATTGGCTATTGTCCGTTCTATAGTTATAATTTTTCATTATCTATTGTGTGAATATATCTGGAAAAATATTTTCTAAAGTTAGTAGTATAGCAACAATAAATTTTAAAGAGATTGTAGAAAACAATTTAATAATTGACATCATATATTTCTCATTCATGTACTGTTTCATTAATCCACTTACATTAACATAAATTGATTATGACGAACTGGTCATGAGCACTTTTTTTTTTTTTATAAAATAGTATATAAACAATTATTTATTATTGAATAATTCATTATTTGACGTTATGATTTAATATCTCATTTTTTCCGATTCTTTTATTTTGATAGATAAAGAAATTAAAAACGTGTTTTATCCGTCTTCTAATTATTGTTATATATATATATATATATAATATAAGTGTAAATAAATATAATATAAATTATATAATAGATATAACATTATTCGAAAGAATTAATAGTAAAATTAATATTCACATATTTATTCTAAATAGTCAAAAATTGTATCTCATTAGCCATTCTGGTAACGTGATAACGATGGAAGCATAATATTTTTTAATATATTTAACATCATTTTTTATATTGATGGACATTTATAATATAAATTTCTGTATAACAGTGTACGTTAATCTCTTAAACATAACAAAAATGAAAATAATCCAAAAACTCATATAATTCGTTCATCTAATATCTTTGTAATCAATATGGAAAAAAAATTTAATCACTCTTTGTTTCAGAAATATAAATGATTTTATATTCGTTACTCGATTTTCAATATACAAGTGAATTAGTAATTCAATTTGAAATAATTATTTATGTTACATCATTCAATTAGTAAAAATTACATTACTTATATTAAATGATTGGATGATATTCAATATTAATTTTGGAAAATTAATTTCCTGACTTAATTCTGTATAAGACGCCTATTATTATTTATTAATTAATAGATAGTATAAGAATGAAATAATATAGTAGAATAATAATAAATATTGAACGTCTGAGTCTTCGTAAATACTTAAAAATTTCAATAATTCTCCTGTTCTTTAAAAAAACATTCCGGTTCTATTGATATAACCTTTTGAATTATTTTAATTTTCTTCGTGTTATATTAGTTTTTAACATATTATATTTTTATTCAACTAAACATTAGATTTATATCAAAAACATTATATTAGTAATTACTACTAATTCTTTAATTAATAATCGGACGTATAATATAAAAAATATTTTGTAGTTAAAAAAAAAAAAACTATGTTATTGAAAATTTTTTATACTGAGATGCAGAAAATTGGAATCAATTTGATAAGATCCATTATATTTAAATTGATATTAGTAATTCATCATGATTTTAGCGATTACAATTTTTTAAATACCGGGATAGTATTGACAATTCTTAAACATAAAACTTTCTAAATAATTACATTGAGATTGTTAATAATGGTAATAAAATAATTCACGGCAAATTATATAATTAAATTTGAAAAATATTGGCAAATTTTTTAATTTCATAGAGTATTTAACGTACCGTAATATAACTGCAATTGAATAAAAATAAAAATATAAATGGCTTGATTTTAACATTCTATTTTATTTCTATATTAATTGCAACCATTATGTTGAGCATCTTTATAATTCTATTCCTTTATGAAATTAAAAAATATATAAAGAATAATATTATAGAATTATTATTATAGTGTATAAAGTTACTTTATCAGTTAAATTTATTATTTATTTATTAGAACGTTAAATTTGATTATTATATTTCTATAAAAGATATGTTATTGAATTGAATAAATGATTAGATAAATCATAAAATCTTGCTTTAATATTATAATATATAATAATTCATTGATTTGAATAATTGAAATTATTCTAACATATTACTAATACATTACAAGATATATAAGGACATTAGCAGTTAATTATTAATACGGAAAAATAAAGTAAATTGAATACATGAATTTGAATTTTCAATAATATTTATATTTTTCAAATATTACATTATTTAATTAGATGAATTATGATTTATAATGAAATAATTTAGTGCAATATAAAAAATATTTGAAAAGAAAGTTAAATAAAATTTGATGAACTCATAAGTGGCTTGACGTCATATAAAATTATTTAACATAAAAAATTACTTATTATTTTTTGTTCTCAATAATATACTAAAAGTTAGTAAATTTAAGCTTTGAATTTAATAAATATTTTTGATTATTTCAATCTTATTAAATAAAAGAAATTCTACTTAAATTGAATTGTTATTCTAATGAATTTATTGACATTTAATTAAATTTAATATACAAAAAACTAAAACCAATATTTTTGTTATTAAATATATTTACGGGAATAAACATAAAATATTATTTTAATTTAACCTATTGGTTCATGGGAAAGAATTTTTACTTATGACAGAATTTAAATTAATTTAAAATATAAGAAATAAGTTGAAAATATGCGGAAAAAGGTAGCTTTCTTAAAATTATAAAAATATACATACTGTACTTTATTATATACGTAATAATTAAATATTTCATGAGTAATTATAGACAGTATAATCTATATCTATCATCAAGTATTTATGTTAAGAGATTATTTTTAATATTTAATATCCTACAATTTATCTTTTATTTCCAAAATATTCATCCTATTAATGTTATAATGTTCTAATAATAAATATATACTTATTTAATCTACTCTACCTACCAATTATCTTTTTTAGAAAATGAAGGAAATTACAAATATTGCGTTTGATTGAAAACAAATTTTTTGTACCACATACAGTAAAACTGAATTATTATTTTAATAATTAGGTAAAATAATGGAATAAGAGTATTGTAATTTTTTTTAATTATATTAAATAATAATATTGTTAACAGCTTAAATATCAAAAATCTAAAATATTCTAAATCGTTCAATATTATTAATTTTGACAATAATTGTTAATAATTTTAACGTTTCTAGGCACCGATGGAATATTTTTTATGCATTTTGATTGTCTGTGATTCGTCTTTTTGTGATTTTACGGTTTTATGGTTAAAAAATCTGGAAAATAATAAATGAATTATATCTTTCATGCTTTAACAAATATATCAGTTTTGACAAATACTATAACCTGTAATATAAATTGTATGCAAAATAAGATGTATAAAGTATATGATATATAATTTATAAATTAATATTCGATTTTCATAAAACAAGAAATTATAAAATTATATCAATGATTACAAACAATTATAATTATAAATAGTAGTAATATACATATATATATATATATATATAACTAAGCTAAATACTTAATTATTTAACATAAATCGTAGTTGATATAAAGGAAGATGTAACTGTATTATATCAAGACGATATATACTGAATTGTAGATTAATGTATCAATTCAATATATCGCGAAAACATTAGATTATAAAAAATTAAGCTGCGATAAAAAATCTTTGTGCAGCTGTGAATTATCTAAGATCCTTTGAATATGCTTAAAAATTGGTTAAACCCGTCTGCTTATATCTTGTATCGTCGTGATTAGTATTTTATAAATTTTTTTAGTTTTGTCTTTTTAAATAATTATTGTGCTTATACATTTAAACTAAATTTAGATTATGTATATTTTATGTTCAAATTAAATACACAAACAACTTTATGATAATTGAACATTTTGTCCGATAATTATATTCCCAATTACGTTCTCAGGACTACACCTATTTCGTAATTAATCAACTATCTAATTATTGAAAATCTTTCAATATTTCAGTATATATATAACATTGTGAAATTTTTCCGAAGGATTTGCGGCTTATTCAAGTTCGAGCCCATATACAACTTGGTACTTTTGAAATCGTTCTTGCATAATGAAGCATGAAATTAGCAGACGTCATAAACTAGAGTGGAAAATTAAGGATAATTATGAATATATATTAATACATTAGTATAGTGATTACATAGAGGAGAGAAGGCGGGACAAGGCGTGGAAAGAAACTAGCAGGAACTGCAATACTCTCAAAAAAGCAATGCTTGCCTACTTAGCATTCTTCTTCCGTTCTCGTTGCATTTCACTAGTCAAGTACTGTCGCCTCTATGAGTATTGGAGGAACCAGCGCGTAGCTGATTGACGTCATCGTTGGTGCGCGTTGGACGTTCATAACACCTTATCACCTTTCACAAGTGCAGAAAAGCAGGCTCCGACGATCGATATTTAATATATATTTTGCCATAAGCCTACGTTACATTAATAAATAATAATTTAATTTAATGTGAATATAATTTATTAAATGAATCAAACTTTATATATTAACTTTTATTATATATATATATATATATATATATATATATATATATTTATTTATTTATTTGTTTAAGTGAACTTTCATATTATATAATCTACAACTATTTTATTATATTGATTAATATTAATTAATGACAATTATAATAGTCTTAGGTGTATAGTTTCCAAAATTTTATTGATTTTTATTTTCAAACTAATCGATAGTAAACAATAATTTAATTATTAGTGTGTTATATAAATAAAACTGT